TTAGGCAATATCAAAGTGGAATTGAGAAACCATCTCCTGCACCAGTAGCAAAACCAATGGGACCAGGAGTACAAAGGTAGATGGACACACAGCCTCGTTCCTAACATCAAGGACTGGACCAGCAGGAACCATAGCGCAATGGACGTCTACTTGACGCAAGCCTTCTCAGGGCATAGGAACTTAGGTTAGGTTTTAGTCGGTATGCCACGCTGGAGAGTCCGACATAACCGGACTTACCGGTATGCGTAACGCATTTCCCCCTCCTCGGGGACCAAAAAAATAAAAATAAATAAGTTTTTTTTAAACAAGGAAGTACAAATGCAAAACAACTACCTACTTTTGACTATTTCAAAAGTCCAAACATTTTATGTGGAAAACATAAAAATAAAATTCCTTGTCATAAGTTTCACCAGACTCACTGATACCCAAAATTAAGCTTTCTCCACATTTGTGAATTTTCATTAACCCAAAAATCAATTCTCAAGATGATGTGGTATAGTACCAAACCTGAGCCTTGCTTGGTAAATAAACGCAAAATGTGTTATTACGACATTAAATTGCCAAAATGTGATGTTGAAGGTACGTCTTTTTCTAACATGATGGGAATCAGTGAAAGAAAACTTTCATAATTTTAGAGATTTGATTAGAAATACTTTTTGGCAAGCTTTACTAATAACTCAGAAGGAAAGAAAATACAAGTTGTTTTTCCTAAGAATTATATTAATTATGTATAATTAATATAATTTAATGTTATAAGAGAAATTTATGAGATATATTGCTTTGAGTTGCCAAGTGTAACATACGATACTAATGAGTGTGTAAAGCCAATAACAAAATAATTTTTGTTTTAAATCACTTTCATTGTTATCTTCTATATCTATATGTGAACACCAATCCCTTAAAACACACCAAAAAAACTCAAAAAATGTTTATTTAATTTGATGGAGTAGGGGACCTGAATTTTGCTTAAATAACTCAACAGCCCTTTTAAGACTTCAAAAATGTTGTAATGACATAACACTACTATACTTTAAATATTTTTGAAATTAATGAAAGAAAAAGGTATTCGAGCGATCTACTGTTTTTGTGCGGAGTGCAGCTTACACTTGTTCATGAATTACCCCCAACACGTGCTGAAAACATTAGGTGCCAAGCATTAGAATAGAATACTGAAAAGTAAGTATTAAAATACTGCTTTGAGATATTTTGCATAAATGGTACTAATATAACATATTCTATTCTGATCACTACTATACTTAGGATAAGTATGTGAAATTGTTGGAAGGATTTAGAAAAAGATTATAGAGTTGAAGTGACAAATCATGCTCCAAAAATACTTTTTTCTCTTTCACACACATTCTCTCCCTCTCCCCATTCCTCACTCCTTCCCTCCCTCTCAGACTCCATCTCTCCTTCTCTCTCTTTGTTTCTCTAATTCCCTTGAAAGGCAGAAATGCCAAGCAAGAAGAAATAAAAAAAGAGATTTCTGTAACAATAATCAGGATGACTCATGTAGAAGCAATTAATAGTGCACAATATTCATTAAAAACAGTTCATAATATTGAAAAATACATTTTCACAGTTATTGTTATTTTAATATTATTGTTATTTACATCTTTCTCAACAGCTTCTATGTACTATCAATGTTAGTAAAAAACTTTCATAACAATTACACTACAATTTCTTTTTCAATTAAAGTTTATGAAATGAGATATATGCAGTATCTTTTTATACTTCCGATCTTTTACATAGTAAGCAAGGAAGTAACTTCGCTGTCAACATCCAAATAAACACTACCAGATGGATTGGGAATAGAGAGAGGCTGTGATACCAGTTTAAGTATATAAGGTTAGTTTAGTAAGCAGCCACACACACACCAAATAAGTCTGTAGCCCATTATATAAGCATTAAATTGATATATTTTAGCAAATATTATTGATTTTGCCATGTGATTGTATCTGCATATATAAGTGGCACTGAATGCTCTCTCAATTCTCTCTGAAAATGAATAAATATGTAGTACTTGAAGTAGTTAAAAAGTATGTGGTTCTGTAATGGTTTGTTGATGATGGGAGTTACAGTGAAACTTGTGTTAGCCTTAAACTTTTGAAATATAAAGAAATGCAATAGAAATTATTAGATTATTATATACTCTCTTATATATTAATTATTAAATTATTATATACTCTCTGGACTGCCGTCTCTGATATATACTCTCTGTTATTAGATATTTCTAATTATTTTTTATTGAAAGAAAGAACTTCTTCAATTTTATTACTGTAATTTTTGTTGATGAATCCGCATTAAAAATGTATTTTGACAACATTCATTCATACACCTCAAGAAATAACTTCAGGCAATAGAAAATTTTAGTTTTAATAAAAGAGAATTAGAAAGGCAAATTTAATGAAAAAGAAAGCTTTATATTTTGAGCAATATACTAATTTTTTACAAAGTAAGTATTGTAAGACAACTTAATACAAGTTTAACTAGTGGTACTACAGAATTGCAAAGACTCTTATTACTCTGTTTTCTATTTTTTTGGTTTTGGCTAGGTTTTGCATACACATGCCAGCTACCACCTATTGCCACCCAAAATACATTCTTTTATTTTTCTGTTTTCTTATAATAGAACAAAAATATTACTTTCAGAATCTTATAGAAGAGTCAAATGTTTTTAAGATAATGGCATTTGGCGATGGCAATTGTGAACCCAAATCGATTGAAATGTGCGCATTAAAGGTGTGAGAGGTATTACAAAACTAGTGTTGGTGAAACAGCACATACTTTTTCACCATCAGTAATTGTTATGTAACACTATTTACACCTGTAAATTAGTCAAATGTTTCATGATACGATACACACAATTGCATTATGAAGTTTTCCTATTACTTATTAAGTTAATACAGTCACTAAGTCAAGCAGAATCTTTTGTATGCATGTTAATAATGTTTTTTTACATGAGGTCAGTATAATTTTTCACGTTATATAAATTATGGAGACCAATTGTGTAAATTAGTCAAATGTTTCATGATACAATCACACATAATTGCATTAGGATTGTTTTCTATCTTTTATGTTGATACAGATGCAATATGTTCCTGCTGATTTAGGTTTCATATATATAAATAACAGATTATCAGGTTGTAACAGAAAATAAAATGCAGTAACAATAATCATTGTAACCACATACATCCAATTAGGTTTGGATTATTGATCTTTGTATAAATGCCTTACACATTTATCATGTTTCTTAAGAAAAATATTGTATATTCGAGTGATTATGACTGTAATTTGATTTACGATATACAGGAAATTGGTTCCAGGCAGCAGTGTTGGCTCATATTTTTAAACACCATTTTCATCTTAATCAAGTAATTGTAGTGTATGAGTGATCATGCCAGTTCTCGTGGCAGTCATAAAACGTGATATTATGTTTGATAATATTCTCTACCCAGTCAGGTATGACCCTGACCCTATCAGAGTCAGGTATTGTGATTTATAATTTATATATTTTTTTTAAAATTTTGCGTTATTAGTGTATGCTTCAATATACTTGTTAAAAATTAGCGTTATAAATTGTTTTAACAATGTTGTTAATGCATTTAGCCCTGATGATGGAGAAATTGAGATACTCTTAAATTTTTACCAAAACTCTTGAACAAATTGGATAATAAATAGAATTATTTTTTCACTTACATATTTGCTTTTGTTACCTTTTTTCACCCATCTTCAAAATGACTTTTATTTATATATAATAAAGTTATTGAAGGTTCTGTAATGGTCCAAACTGTCAATTTTAATTTCTTAAGCCTAAAATTTTCATCATGAAAATGAAAAAGTTTTCATCTATCATTAATTTGAATTTATTATCCTACAATACTTTACCCAGAAGAGCATCCAAATAATTCCTAGTGCTTTTCGACCCTTCATGTACTATCTAAATTCTCAGAACTGACTGTTAATTAATTTATTTGAAGTTATGGATCACTTGATTGCCAATCAGTACTCAAAAAATATTTACTAACTAGTATCTTTTTCCCACAAAAACCTTTGAACATAGTGTGAATATTTTCCAAAGTTTTATACTTATCAGCAGAACCCAATGTTATGAAAATAAAATATTAAATAGCAAGTAATGATACAATCATTTTAATAATATATGCCTAAAATATCAATTAAGCATTGTTTGGTCCTGTCCAGAACCATTGAACAAATGTTCTACAAAATTTAAGTCGTCCCTGCATAACACCTGCTTCTGTGGGCATTCTGCAATCAAGAGAAGGATGATTCTGCCCACAAGAGCGGTGAAAGGGCCAGTAGTAGGAGTTAGGCAGCTTTGCAGAGGGGGGGGGGAGTAGCATACAATTGCAATGAGTACAATGCGGTGCGTAATTGAATGCCTATGCGTTCACGGACCGAAGGATCGCAGCTTTGGGTCCCGCCTCGGGCATGGTTGTATTGAGTTAGTCCCCCCCCCCAACACTAACATATTGTGCCATCCTCACACACACACAAAAAAGGGGGGGAGCATAATTCACTGTTTATGTTCTTTTGCACACTGCAATGTATTGAAATATTTTCCTTCATCGATCTTTTTAGTTTATGCTATTTGTGAATCAGTATTTTAAAGCAGTGGCCTTGTTATAAACTTGTCATTTAATTCTAACAAAAATGTACAATTCAATAATTTGTTTTTTCACCAGGAATGTTATAACCTCCAAATGACAGTAAAAGCAAAACAAGATATCAACAAGCAAATCTCTAACGAGATGAGCAATCAAGAGATTATGTAGTTAAATGGGATGGAAAGCGATTAATATTTTTTACGATGTGAATGGTTATGTATAAATGGAACTTGTTGATTTATGTAAGAAATATATAATTTTCCCTTTTCAGCAATTACAGCACAAAGTAACTATGATTTCTAAAGATAAGGTTTTAGTCTGTGAACCAAAAATGGAACCACCTCAGGAACATAGTTCATGGAAAAGTAGTTTATTACTGTCATCTTTGAACAAAAATGATTCAATATTACAGTTCTTTTTTTAGCACCACACTGAATTTGTATTATGTCATAGCAAAGCAAATTAAATTATCAGCTCTAAAAGCAATTAAATACTTTGAGTCCATATATGTATTTATATATGAAAATATATTATATACACATTTCATATTATCATCTCTAGTGAACACAAACATTTCCAATATAGTACAAAAGGAAATATTACTTGAACCACATGTAACATTCTGTATTCTCGCCAATTGCCCTTTAAATTTACACGCTACGGTTCGCGTTTATACTCTCCAGTTCTGAGAGAACCAAACCTCCCCTTCGAAACATGGGCATTCCTGCAACCCCTAGCTTGTCACGATTCATGCTTACTGAGGCGTTTGGATATCATATCCTTGAAGATTCCTGGTGTACTCGGGGCAGTGCTTGCTTCCGTAATCTACTTTAAACTCATTCATACCCCCATCTTAAAATTTGATGATATAAACATTACAGTAAAAAACTATAATTTTTCAAATTAATTTTAGGAGTTGTTTATATTTGTATTTTAAAAATGAAAATCTACTTTAAATACTAAAATAATAAATTATCAATGATTACATTCTCGTTGCATAAAAGCACATCTTTTAAAGTTTAATTTGAGTTTTTTAAATTTTTTTTTGGCAGTGACAAATATTTAAAGGTAACCATGCACACAATTCTTAAAAAACAGTTATATTTTCGGAATGAGTAGGATTAGAGATCAAAGGAAAAAAATGTCTACGTTCACATCAACCCATCACAAGTTTCAAGTTGCTACAAAATTGGGAACACTTATGCATGTGCAATTTGATGTGGAATTACCCAACTTCTTTTCCCTTGACATATTTGACATTTTTCCCTCAATACCAAAATATTTAACATTCATATTAATGACTAAAGGGCAAATCTTGTTTTCAAATCGGTAGTAGCTGAAATTTATACCTTAGCTGGCTTCCATTGTATTAAAGTTAGATTTCCACACAAAGTATACTTGCAGAAAAACCAAATTTGAGATATTAGTGGGAACAAGAAAGCATTTGGTTCCACATTGAATGTAATAATCAGCTCAAGGGTCCAATAACATAAGTAGCCATCAATGAAATTAATCCTGTAGCAAATTGCAGGTGCAAATACTGTAAATTACTATCTGGGAGTGCCATTTTTCCCAGATACCCCTAATCAATCCTCTATTTTCACATTGGTGAAGTGTGGCTAATACAGTTTCTGTATTTGAGCATTGTTGAGATGTCCCACAGTGCAACTAATGCACATAAACAAATAAAATAAAAATCTCATAATATATAACAAAAATCATCATTTATTCACTCTTGCTAGCAACAATGCAGCACAGGCTCAATGGAATTAAATGAATTACAGGTGTTGCCAAGATCAGTAATCTCCATGTCAATTATAAAAAAATTATAAATTCTATTTTTTTTACATATGGTGCAGCAATAAAATAATGTACATTATAGAGAGGTAAAACATGGTAAGAATAGGGGATTTTACAACTCTTACATCTGCAATACAAGGTAACACTTCAAAATCACCAGTTCACATTAAAAATCTTTCAATGACTTCAGGTGTCAACCGCAATAGCAAGCATTTTCTTTTATACAAATCACAAAGCAACTGACACTTAAACATATGAAAGATTAACAAAAAGAATGACCCAGCACCCTAATTCAAGTAGAATTTCCATGTGCCTCATTTAATTTTTCTACTCTAGATCAAGGCTAAATAAAACATGAAATTCTCTTTCATTCTTCATCTAATATACTTTAATGCAGAAAATGTTCATTTCTCAATGAGATTGCAAATGAAGTCCAGAATTATCTGTTAGGAGTTAACATTACTTTGGAATGTAAAACTCAAACATTAAAATAAAGTACATGTTCTCCAGAAAGTAACTAAAAATCTGAATGCACTATATTAAATATAATGAAACTGAACACTAAAAACACCATGCAGATTTCTGTTCTCTTCATACATCTGTAACTAGTATACACATTTAATCACTTTCAGAATCTTTGGGCTCTTTCTTCTTCTTCTTTTTCTTCTTTTCTCCTTCAGGACTCTGAAACATTTATTGCAACATGATAAATTATTTCATCCACTGAAATTAGTAATACCATAATCTCTAACTATTTATTTTTGGCTAATCCAAGCTTCTCTTCACGACCAAAATTCTCATCATTTCCGATAATTTCACACACATTTTCAGTATAAATGCTTAAATAAAATTTGGTAATATTTAGAATTTGTGAACAAATGGTAACACCAAGTTCCTTCAAAACAGCCACTCCATTATTTGGTTATTTACTTACAAAGAATGACCACCATTTTTGCTGGTCTGGCGTTACAGTACCAATTTCGTGGATTGTTAAACCTAAGTCTGAACTAATTTAGTCTACCTAGCAGAAACATTTTTTTAAGCAAAAATTCCTGCAAACATAATAGCATTGTATTTATAACCTCAAACCTATGCGATTAGATGGTGATTTGTGTCTGATTTCATGAGGTTCTAACCTTCAGTTCTTATGCTATTAACATAAAACAACCTTGAGCCTATCCAATGCCTAACTGACCTTTAACATTACTAGGTGGAAGTCCATTTACAACACCACCGTAAGCATTACCCTTTGTTTCACATAATATTCACTAAGCTCACTCAATTCATTTCTATTGTAAACCATGTTCTGCTCCTCAATTGCCATAACCATTTATGAAACCTTAGAACTTTTAGATTGGCAACATTTCATCAAGTCAAGTATAAATGCCATTTAAGATTTCCCCTTAAGTAAACTTCATCCCATGCCTTCCATTCTATGCCAGTAAGCAAGGTGAACAACTAAACAATTTGCTACATCATGTGCAAGAGTAATATCTACTTACTTTAGTAGGAGAACCAATACTTTGCTCCAAATTATCCTTTTTCTTCTTCTTCTTTTTCTTCTTCTTTTCAGACTGCAAATTTGAAACAAATTAAAGTAATAATACCAGCATAAAAAAATATGGAGACCTAGTAATTAGTGAAATTTCATTATACTGAAGATAGTTAATTCTTAAGAACACTACCAAATACCTGTTGCAGGATCTACGTTACTTGAACAAGAATTTACTAAAGCAGCCTCACATTTATTAAGTCAGAGGATCATGAAAGAATTGTATACAGTAACTTTAGATTTTTCAAAATATTTCAAATTTGATTTAATAATCTAATTTTACAGAATAGGATTGGAGAACTAACATAACGACCAAGATACATAAATGTAACTTCTGTTTGTGGTTAGTGAACTGTCATGCATCTGAATCATCGAGTGACTTCTTTCACCGGAAGATTTATATTATATGAAACACATTCATGTCTTGAAAATGGCTAATAGAAACTTATCAATATATTAATACACAAGAAAAATATTTATTGTAAAATTAGATAAAATTTCTATTATGTTTTCAAAGAAATAAATACAAAAACTTAAACAACATTTCAATTTCTTGTAGTGAAAGATATTAAAATGAAATTTTATATACTCTGGGTTTTAGTGATTTCAGTGTTCATTGCACTGAACTACTAATTACTCACTAAATTTTTAATATTTGCTAAAAAAAATTGGTTTTTGAAAATCATTAACAAAAAATTAATTCGAGGATCATTTTACACAATATAGGTCAGGGCCAAAAACAATTTAACTGAGAAATTACAAAACTAAAATAAAAGACCCCAGCAACCTTTTAGCACAAACGCTGGTTTGCATGAAACCATTTAAAGACACGTTAAATGCTATTGTTTGTGAGTGTAGTCTTAACAGAAGAAAGCGTTGCAGGATAGTTCTTTAAGATTACCGGTTCTTTGAAGTACTCTTTAAATTACATATTCAAAACCAGACCTGTAAACTCAAGCATTTGTTAAATAATAATTCATAAAAAAATTAAACTCCGCCATAATATTGCCATATATTTTTTTCAAAGCTAATGTCCTATAACTTATCCTGCAAGTTAAGTTTTCTTCCTAATTAGTCTTGTAAAAATGGTTACAATTTTAACACAAATACAAGAGAAAAAGTATACCTGAGCACCATCATCTTGCATTGATTCATCAGCACCAAGTTCTCGTTCTGAACTCTGGAAAAAATAAAAGAACATTAAGTTCGTAGAATAGGATAGTGAGAAAAGATAGAATCCCTGAACTAATGCCAAATGCTATTCATAATGAAAACTTCTTGATTAAGACAACTTGCAAAAGTATTTTTTAACGCCATTTGCAGCAGAATACCGTGCCAACACCAAAACAAAATGGAAATTTATTTGAACTTACCTCCCTGTCTCGTTTAATCTCTTTCTCAGGAGTGAGGTTCTTCTTTTTCTTCTTTTTCTCTTTCTTAGGTGTGTCTCTCCCCTCACTTGTCACTGAAGTCATTGATTCGTTCAACTTTCGCTGCAAATATTTGACACAAAACTTTTCAATCTGAACACGCATCATAATACAATTCAGTCAATTAGTAATCAAACTCACCTTCCTCACCACTTCTTCTTCCTCTTCTATTTTCACAGTGACAGCACTGAAATTTTGATAATCATCAATCACAAAGTGAAAAGGTAAAGGAAAATGCAACTATTATAATACAGTACTTAATTTTAAAAGAATAATGTTTTGTGTTTCCACTAACAAACAAAAACATATTCATAAAGTACTTTCTTTTTAAACTTGTTAATTGTTTAACAAAGTATAAAACAACCTTCCTTACCACACCCTTTTCAAGGGGCCAAGAAAAAACTACGTAAATCAAGGGAATGTATAAATGGTGGGAAATTACTATTCCTGATAATAAAATACAAAACATTAGTTCTCTACATTTATTAATAATATTAACCATTAATAAGAAATCCTTGAAAATCACAAGTTGGTACAGAATTGTTGATACCCTGCCTCGTAACAGGATAGTGAAACGAAGAAGTGCACATTTAGTACATGGCCACGTTCTGCATCAGCAATATGTACAAACATTGAATTTATGCAATTCCCAAAACAATTTTCAAAATAGAGTTAAAAGCAATAACACATTTCTTTTACCAGGACAATACTGAGTAATTTTGACTTTCTCTGATTGGTATAGTATTTCTAAAACTTGGCGAGAACTAACATACAAGATTGTTAGTTATTGTTAGCTTCTGCGGCTTGAGTTCATGACCTCTTGGCTGTCTGGATGACGCCGCATTGTTGGCTGAGAGGCAGACGTTTCGCCTGTCATATTGGAATCACCTAGATAGCCAAGAAGTCAAGATTCCGCATTATACAATGTAAAACTACAATTTACCTGTGGCATGACTGCCATACGTGTTCACATTACACAGATTTCAACATTATACACATTCCGCAGAGAGCAAGTTTAACTGTACCATATTTATCTGAATATGAGTTTCTCATACAACCAAAAAGTGTCATATTCACAGTTTAAGGGTAGCTGGGTGGGATCTATCTTTATTCTTGACTTTCCATGTAAAACTTAAAAGCTATTGGAACAAAGCTGTAAAGCATATAAACACCATGCTAATCTTTAATACTTAATTATTTGTGCTTTTTCTTTTCAAATTCTGTGAATATGCTAGGCAGATTCAAGCCAATATTTTGAATGAGGGGGGTAAAGAGGATCTCAAAAGAAATGGGAATTTGCAGTAGTGAACATGAAATAAATCTTTGCCAGATATTTTTTCGATACACTTATTTTTCACACACGCGCCCACACACACACACACACCACACACACACACCACCACACACACACAAACCAACAAACATTGGCAGCGTACATCCACACTACTCAAGGAAGGTATATGGATGTGAGACTTCACAGATCACAACTATTACACAACATTAAACTAAATGGTTGTTAAAGCAGATGTCACAAACAAGTTAGCGTCAAAAAAAATCTGATGACAGATGGGAGTGGTCTCAGATAACATCAGATGAAAGCTAAAGAGCGAAACACAAATTCAAGGAGCAAAATTTTCGGGAAGCCTAAAAAGTGAAGACATTAGAGACATTTTTTATTCATTAAGAGAATAGTTATTGTTTAGAAGAAATATTTTAAATTCTTGTCAAGACAATTTACTAGCAAAGACAAGTTGCTATTTTTTAATAAATAATAATTAGTTAAAAATTTTTAAAAATTCTCAGGACATTTTACAGGGTCATGTTATAATCATCGATGTCATATTTGGGGAAATTAAGTACGTCATTCCAAAGCACTACAGATTATTCGTATACACTTACCTGTAATCAGGATTGCTTTGCAGCCAATCTGCAGGCGTTTTTTCATTTGGTTTTCCATACTTGTCCAATAAACCTTGTTTAATGAGTCCTTTCTTCATCGAAGCCTGTATTACGATTAACAAAAGGATTCAGAACTTTAATTCAACATTTTTTAACCAACTTCAAATTTTCAAGTACATAAATATAATTCAGTTACATTTTTGCTTTAATAGCATTATCAATTCTACTTCTCAATCTCTAAAAGCAATTCCATGAAACATGTAAAGACACAAGGTCAGTAACATAGTAATTCCTAAGAAGTTAGATAAAGCAGAATAAAGAAAACTAGAGTATGTTTTTGCATTTCAAATGAATACATTTAGTCACTACTTTAGTACCTTTGATATGTCCCCATGGCTTCCCCATTGATATGTCAGAAGCTCATGGTTGTTTAGCAACTTTACCTAGGCTGTGTCTCCTTACTTGATTAATATTCAAGTAAGTCAATCATTTGTGAAATGCCAAAGTATGAACAAGTTCATTGCTATCATAAAAAACAATTCAAAACCAAAACAAGTTCTTGGACGAAGGGATGATAGGTAATGACTGACGATGACCAACTAGGTTAAAGGAGAAAAAGAACAAGCTTCCCAAAAATTGTTACTTAAGAATTAACCGAAATAGTCTAATATTAGTCTAACATAAGTTGCATCAAATATCAAAACCTGATATGTACTTCACCTTTAATGTTAAACTCGTGTAAAAAGTAAAGGACCAATGAACTACAACATAGTTTCTGGAATTCAACTTCATGATCTGGTTTTTGAAGGAATGATAAGTCATTCTTTTCTCCATGACATTTAAATTCTGATGTGTTCATGTGAGATATTCACATCAGCATTTGGCTTATAATTTACTCAATTGGTCATGAAGAAAAACAAAAGCAAATGACTCCTTCAAATATCAGTCCATAGTTAGGACAGAACAATGCTGAAATTTATGATGTGGTCAAATGTTATCAATTTGTAAAGGTGAGTTAATTTTCTGTCATTAATTAATTGTTGCATTAATCCATTCCTTTTACTGTATTTAAAGAGTATTCTTTTAATGCAAACAAAACTGGTGATTGTTGTTGGGATTACACTTTCATTTTGCATCCACAATTCTGGACTACATTTCAGGCTCAACAGAAAAATTGATAGAAAAACTGTGCGGCACAAGTCAGGTACAGACAAGAATAGGTTGCCTCTACCTTTGGTCCCAGGCCCCATTTTCTAGGATAGGTATCTCGATCCATGATCACCCTCTTAATCTTGGCAACTAAACCATGGTCACAACTGGCTATGGTGGCAGTGGTCATAAGAGCAATGGCTGAAACAAGCAATTGTCCAGATACAAAATAGACATCACAAATCAAAGGAAATCACCAGATTACACTAGACAAATTAATAATACCTATTGCTACAGCTTCACCCTTGGTAGTCACAATTACAATTTCCATGTTGACTTCAATACCATCTTCATACCTCAACACTCCAGGGAGCATAATTTTGGCACCATAACATACAGCGTTTACCTGAAACATACAGGGAAAATTTAGCCTGTACACCACAAATGAAATATTTACGTTACATATATTTCAAAATTTATGAATTTTATGAGCTTTCAAAACATTAAACAGAAAATTTTTGTCTAAAAGAGTCTGTGGACATGTTAGCATATGCAATCAGGCTGTTGCTGTGAGCCTATGAACATAGGAAACAATGCAGCCATAATTTCTACTTACAATACTTTTCATAACCGCTAATGGATTTCTTAGATGGGTTTATTAGTATCCATGGTATCAATACCAGTGGTTCTGCATATTAACCAGGAATTTTAAAATTGTTACAGTGCAATGGTTTTGCATTGTGCAGAGAAACCTTCCCCAAATGGCCACCTCAATTAAGCGGTCAGCCCCACCTGCCATTTTTCATGGAACTTAATTGTTTTTCATAAAATACATCTCAATATTTCCTCTTTTCAGTAGCCATCTGGGTAAGTTGCTAGCAACAAATCACATTTCATAGATCGATCTTTATTTAGTAGTCACCTGAAGTGATTTTGAATTTTACTATTTCAAAAAGCAGAAATGTGATGGATTACGATTTATTTTATTTTCCTATGACATTACTTTGAGTGGAAACATCCTGTATCTTATCCAGCAGGGCTATTACTTTCCATTTCAGGAAACAATGGATTTTAATAAATTATCTCTTCATGAAACAACACTTGTTTTGCCCATTTCACAGCATTCTTATGGTTTACTAACTTGTACTACCCCTCTGTACAAATCTGGTAAGGACACACTGTGCACTGTGCATCCTCAAATTCGATCCAAATTCGAAGGTTAACTCACTCAGAAGGCCTGATGTATAGTTTCTACAGAAAATGAATTGCATCTTCAAGTCCAATTCGCTTGTTTGATTATGCAAGAACGGAAAGAGTTTCTCAACTAAGAGAATAAGAAAAGTCAAGGGCGAGTATTACTATTAGCTCAAAGAAGGCAAATGATATCAAATACTTTATTGAATTTGTACATAGTAAATTTCAGTAAATAAAAATCTTGAAAGAAATGTACATTTCATGGCAATTAGTACAATATAACTTTGATTAAGCAGCTACTTTTTGCCTCCAACATTTTTCACCACTTAAGACATATCTCACTACGAGTTAGTTTAGGATTTTTCTATGCTCAATGTCTAGCTCAACCTGACAAGTAGGCTCAACACAATGCAGTGCCTGTGACCATACAGATTATGTAAATCATGTATCTCTCTCGCCATGACTAGGGCAGTAAAAAGATTAAGAAAAAGCCTGAAGCATTTTCCATAAGGGATTTATGTTCCACGTTCTCCCAGAAATTAATTTCATTTATTGACAATCCAAAAGAAATGATAAAAACGTAATTTGTCAGTACAAAATCATTTCCTTTCAAGTCTGATTTACCTGGAAAAGTTATGCAAAATAGTTATTCTTGTTTAGTAACATCCTTTTTTGTAAAAAAAAAAACAACTTACTGCACTATCTTTGATGATTATTCTTTTGTGTCCCACAAGCATTTTCTCCAGTGGATGAATGACACGTCGCAAGTAACTCTCATCTTTGTGGTTCTCATAGAGCCACTGGGCATCAAGGACGTCATGCATTGTGACTAATCCACAGTGATTCTCATCATTAATGCCTGTAATAACAAACCTTATCAAAATCTCCAGAGAAGCCAAAATATTTAGACATAACACCTTTCAAGATCCTTATTATTACTATAATTATTTAAGTCAAAAGTTTTGAAATCAATTAACTGAAAAGTATTAAAAATATTTTAGTTCAGCTCTAATCACATACAGACAGGCAAGATTGAAGGAAAGATACCTGATCGATTTCTTCGCAACTCCAACATCTGGCCACCAACACCCAGCAGCAAGCCAAGATGTACACAAATCGTTCTTACATATGTACCTGCCTCACAGCTGACCCAAAATATGCCTGTGAAGAATCCATTTTTAAATTTCATACCAAATTTCAACAACTAGAAAGGTAAACGCTTACAGATTTTATGAAATGACTTACCCATGTTTTCCTTCTCATCATACTCCAGCAATTTGTTGTCATAAATTGTTCTAACTCTTAACTGTCTCTTTACAGCAGATATAAGGGGAGGTCGCTGAAATAGTGCTCCCTTCAAATTTTCCAGAGCTTGCGCAACCTGAATAAATTAAATGCTGCAGTCAGTCCCACTCAGAAGAGAAGCACCTTATATTCACGCACAACGCTAATTCACAGTTGCTCTTTATGACCCTGGCAGAATATAATGATGCCGAGGATTTACTTTCTGTCACATGATATTAGTAGAAAAATTTAAAAAGGACCCATATCTAATTATCATACAATTGCTAAGAGTGGTTTGAGCAACAGACAACATTTATTAAAAAAAATCATTGTACTAAAACTGATGTGCAAAAACAAAACCTACAAATATAATAGTTTCCCATTCCTCAACTAGCACAAGCCCAAAAAACGTGCATTGCTTACATACAAATCTCTCTATAGATACAGGGACTGTTTACAATTTCAAGTATAAAAGTTTCTTTGGGTCACATTACTCGATTTTATATTATATATACACATTGTAAAACATTCACATTGGCTTCAAAGAGTAGAGGCAAAGTAAAATATAACCCATATTATCGTTACCCAATTCCCACAGATGTACCATCGCAAAGGGTGCAGTTCAAAACCCTTCTAAACTAAACTTCATAGTTCAAAACAGTTTTAGTGTAACTACTATATCTAGGTATGCAAAGAATTTACAATATTCTAAATTTTCACTCATAAAAGAAATAATTAAAGAAATAAAAATAAGAAAAAGCTTTCACCAATATTATAATTTGTTTTGAGAGAAAATATGTTTATTCATATAAATCAAAGACTATTTAACTTCCCATTTCTCTGATACCATCTGCTTATTTCAGAACAGATTGACCTTTAGTTATCAACATTATTCATTTCTAAATTGCAATACAATTAAACACATTCATAATCTATAAATGCATGCAAGAAATGCATTTACATGTAGACATAATAAGTAAAGACTGGATTTTCATGCAATAAAACTTCCTAAAAAGTGCAGTAAAAACATAAAAACATGCAAACCCATGCAATAAAAAGATCAAGACTTTGCAAAACTGTATAATGTAGCCCAAAATTCCAATAAATCCACTTAACTTATTTTTTGAGTGAGATATTTGAGGTGATTAAAATATAATTTTAGTATTATAATTAAGTTTGTACATATTGTGTAAATAAACCATATTTGACATTTTAAATATTATTCACACACAAAGTTCAATTAGCATAAAATACAAATAAGTAAATACAAAAACTGAAAAATGCAAATACACATTCAAAAATAAAAAATAATGAAGTTACAGAAGAAATGTTCTTAATCGTTTTCTTTGTTTATGCGCTCTGAATAGTTTTCATTATAATCTACAATTGTGTATATTTCCAAATTATTTTCTGAGAAATTATTATATCTTCGATCAACTAATATGTGTTTGAGATATGAAAAACTTCATTCTATATTTCATTTATACTTGTCCGAGTACCAAGTTTCACTGATGTACGTGACCGCTGTTAAAATCTGTCAAAAATTGTTCTGTTTATTCTCTCTCGTACCTCTTATGACGAGGTCTGTTACGAGAAATTCGATCAATTTGAAACTTAGTGCAGCTTGTCACTAAGCTTCACGCCCAGACGTAAGGTCAAATGTGACTTGCGCATGCTATCTCGTGTGGGTAAGTTCAGTGGAGACTGACAAAACAGATATAACATCCGATTGGGAAGATATAGGGTTTCCTGAGAGGTTGCAAACCTGTCCCTGCAGCAATAACCAAGAAATATTAATTAGATAATAGGAATCAGAAAAGGTATGGATACTCAGTTTATAAGGCAAGAAAATGAAGAATTGATACATATTAAAAGGGCCTCGGGTTTCACAGACCACCTGAATGCACTGCTGAGTTAGGTCATAAAAATTTTTTTCTCAAATGAAACATTAAAAAAAATTAAAACATGATTGATAATATAAAAATCATATTTTATGCAATAAAACATAGCAAATTCAAAAATGTGGAATTTTCAGGCAACAGTACCTAAAACATGCAATATCGTGCAGCACCCCCCAAACGTGCAATTTAGAGCAAAATAAAGCACAAACTAAAATACAGTCCTTTTCATGAATCAAATTTCAGTCCAGGTTTCATATTTCAAGTTAGCAAAGAAAAGATGCAGTAACACGGGAATCAGGTCTTTAGTATTAAGTGTTAATAACTATACTATCAAATCCACTCTTGCATGATTAAGGAATGCAAATAAGTTACAAATTCTAAATTTTCACTGATCCACAAAATAAAAAAAATACAAGTTTTTCTCAATGTTAAAATTTTTTGAGAGAGGAAATATGCTATTCACCAACACTTTTCCACAATAAAGCAAATAACCAATATTCATAAACTTACCTTTTCTCTACTTTCCACAGCAGAATGCAATTTAAATATACAAATATATTCTTTACCAGCACTTTGTTGGGATTTAACCAATCTGGTTGCTCTGTCTATGCATACAACCAAACACCCTGGAACAACCAAAAAGCACACTTAGAACACCAAAAATTCACAAAGCTCATAATTATGTACTGTACAAGGACTCAGGGTGTTCCTAGGAAACAGGTCCAACACGCATTGATCTTCCAGATGTTTCTGAGTTTCAATCTTCCTCAATTTCTCTAGTGGTATGAATTTTTAAGCAGCTTATGGGAATTTTCTTTCTTTCAGTCTTAATATGTGCCAGTTATATCTGTCCCTCCCTATTCTTTCAAGAAATTTAAAGAAAAAAATGAATGCGATTCCTGAGCAAATATTGAAAATGCGTCGTAAGTATGATATAAGTGGCCGAATGGACTTTTGGGAATCAGGGTACCTAAAAATTGTACCTCTAGTGAGTTCTTGAAATCTATTTTCTGCAAAACTGTCTGTACTACATCTATTACTTCATAAATATGTGTGTATAGAGAAAGTAAAAATCTATGATCTTTAATTCTGTAATTGCAGAAAAATGCTGAAAATGTGCTTTTATTCTTTTATTTAATTCAATTTTTTTTGTTATAACAAAATGGGAAGTAGCTGAGAGAGGTGGTAGTTGGTGAGGAGGATACCCTGTATGGCAGAAGCTGAAGATAACCGGATACAAAACTATGTAGGATTTGAAATAAGCAACAAGTCTTATTATTAAAAATAAATTAAAAAATTAAAAAAATAAAAAAAAAATAAAAATAAAAAATAAAAAAAATAAAAAAAAAAAAAAGCAAACGCAGAGTATAAGAAATTAACATTGTCATAGCTATCGGGATATTTCGTTAACATAAATTTTTATGAGATCGAGTAAATTAACTTAATTACATAATTATCAATTCAATGATCGGACCTCGAATTAATCACATCAAAAGCCTTTCTACTAACATACCTGTGACTAGTTTTTGCATTATTCACCTGCAAGGAGGTAAAATAGGCTATCTCTTGTCGAGCAAAAGCTCTCTCTATTTACTTTCGATTTTGAGAAAACGTTAAAAGTCGTTTCAATGAAAAGCTTCTCAATTGATATAATATTGTTCTCTTCGAATAAATCATTAGTAGACTACACAACAGGCTTTTTACATAATATTTCAACATTTTTCTTCTTTTTTTCGTATATCAAATAAGAGTATGAAGGGGATATCACAGGCTCCTCCCCAAGTGATAATACCATAAGTAGCTATAGACCAAAACAATGCATGGTACATTTTAAGTATTTTTGTATTTAATATTATCCTTAATTTGTAAGAAACATAAATAAGATATCAATTATCTTTACAGAATTATCTATATGAGCCAACCGTTTCAAATGAGCATCTAAATATTTGACAGAAATAAATGTGTATTCCAATGAAAACTTTTTTGAAATAATTGGAAGTGCTTCTTCCTATGCTAAAAATTGTATTACTTTGCATCTACAGGCCTCCACAGACTTGCGTTATAATAGCTTTTTAGAAAAACGCTTAAAGTAAGCAATTACTCTTAATCCATTGTCATATGTGGAGATTAAAAAAATAAAATCTTCCGAGAAAGAGCAGTCTCTCAATTTAATTCATCCCTTGAGTTTAGATATTTCAATAAATGTACCTACATGGATCACACTAAATTCAAAGGCAATCAATCGAATAATAATTAACAAAACTACTACTCAATATGAAATTGAGGAAAATATTTTAGGATACAGTGACCACAATGCACAAATTCTTACCATTACAATTTTTTACTAAAATAAATATTAAAATAAAATTAACTAGCTGCGATAACTTGCTGCTTACTCATGGGACGCGGTATACAATACTGTTGATACAAACGATAAATATAATAATTTTTTTTCAACTCTTTCATTCCATTTTAACACTTTTTTTATTCTTCAAAAAAATCAAATGTTTCACGGAAAAGCAATTCTTTGATAACACAAGGGATCAGGACATCGTGTAGAAACAAATTCTTTTTTGCATTTCTAAGTGTCATAACTTTTAAAGATTTCCTCCTCTACTTCAAAAAATACAAATCGTTGTTCATCATAAGTAATACAGTAGGCTAAAATCATGAAACATGATCAGAATATTTTGAACTCAAATAATTAAACAAAAGCAATTTGGAATATAGTAAAACATTTGATCAAATCAACTCAATACCTTGTTGAAAATGTTTTGAAAAATTATAGAAATGTGAAAGATTCGTCAACAGTGGTTAGTCTCTAACCAATACTTTTCAAGAATTGCTGCCAATCTCATTTCAGCCAAAAAATTCAACATCAGTTTTCCCAAACATTTTAGACCCTATTATTGTTTTCAAAACCCTCTTCCCATTAAATAATCAAAATCGGTAAACTAAACATTAAATATTCGCCCAAATTAAACAAATTTTTGGATTGTTTGTCAAAGATTTGAGTACCAACCATTATACATCTGTTAACTTTCATATTTAATGCATCCACATGCACCCAGGCTTTTCCAGATATTTTTAAAACTGCTAAGATTAAGCCACTTTTCAAAAAAAGAGAGACAAAAATCAAATTCAAAATTATCAGGGTAATTTCTCTTTAGCATATTTTTTCAAAAATATCAGTAACTTTTTTATGTACGAATGGAAACATCTTAGTAAACACTATGCGCTTTCAGATTAATACCATTGGTTTCGAAAATCAAAATCTACGGGAACAGATATTTTCTGTTCTTAAAGATGTCCTCATCCATGGATCAAAACAAAGCACTCATTGGAATATTTTTAGATCTATTGAAAGCTTTTGACGTCGGAAGAAGCGTTCTCTTTGCCGATGATGCAAATATTCCTTCCAATAAATAAACAGTAAATAGTACAACATTAGATATATCAAATTGGTTCTGTATTGACAAATTAATAGTAAGTGAAAACTGTTTCAATGCAGTTTTTCCTTTCAAATAAACAATTCTGTACTCCATTGAAAACGAACGGTGTGCCATTGACTAATGTTAAGGTAGCAAAATCATAAGGTCTTTCAATTCAGACAAACCTTATACATAACCTCCATTTAAATGAATTTAACGCAAAATTAAATTCATCAAGCTACGCTTTAGAATTCTTTCAAATTCAGTCAGCCTTCATACTGCTCATTGTATATATTTCGAAAATGTTCATTCCTGCCCAGGATATGGCATAATATTCTGGGGAAATACATCTCATAGCTCCCTGACTTTTAGATTACAAAGAAAGAAAGGAAAGAAAAAAAATAATTAATAAATCCCACCCATGTGATTCTTGAAGGCCTCATTTTTTTAATCAAGGTTTTTGATCAGCTGATTTAAACATAATGGGAAGATCAATATCAGCGTTTAATGAAACAAGACATACATTAAGATTAAGGAAAATGGATTAAGTATTAATGCTGATAAAACTAAAACAATGGCCCAAATAAGGAAGGGAATAAAAAATATAACTCTGAATCAGAGCAAAATACACGTAAATGATTTCAAATGCTTGGGCTTTGTGATCATTAATGATAACTAAGGGACTGAGATATAACAAAAGATTGCAGCCAACAAAACATGTCATTCCCTTCGAAGAATATATAAAAACCACGAAGTGAGCAGAACAAAAATATCTATGTACTAAGTGGTAATAAGAACAGTGCTTAGCTACGGGTGCGAAACCTTGGTTATGGCCCAGACAATAGAAAATAAATTGATGGTGTTTGAACGAAAGATTCTGAGAGGTATTTTGGGGGCAGTGCATGAGAATGGACAATGGCGGAGGCGTAGAAACAGAGTAATATTCTCTATATAAATCTCCGGCTACAATTTAGTATACTGCACAACCTAAGCAAGTTGTTTAAACTGGCACTTCACGTCTCTCCAGCGAAGGGGAAATCGTTGGTGGAGGGGACGAGGGGTGTTTAGTGGATTATGAGGGGAATATTTTGGTGGGGAGGAGTGGTGAGCAATATGCGTAACTTAGTGCACGCACACACAAACAAATATATATAAATATAAAAAGCAAAGCGTAGGCATGGGCGATTTAATTAAATTGTATAAATACACCTCTGAAATAATTTTAATGGTTCGTAATTGTCACAAAAGTTTGGAGGGGAGGCCAATTTCACTGTAGTAACTCGTCGAAGCTTCATTACATGGTGGTGCCTAGTAGTGTTGAAGTGATGTTTTTCTGTGTTAGGGTAGCTGTCGAAGTGGTTAGCTACGCTGCTGTCGTACAGTTACGTTTCTTGCATTCTTCAGATTCTTTGCGATTTGTGTTCTTGAGGATTGAGTGTCTGTGCTACGATGGTGAGAATAAATGTGGCTTTTTTTTGTGTTGCGCGGAAGAGGGTTGGCTGTTATTGAATGGGCCCCAAGAACATGGTTTGATTAATACAGGATTTAGGTGTTCTGTGTGCAAGTGTCCAATGAGGTTGGCCAAGCAAAAGGAGTTGTGAGATGGTTTCGAGTTGAAATGTAGCAAAAAACACTCATGTGCAAAAGTGTTCAGTGCGGAAGGGTTCATGGTTCGCACAGCTGGCCAGTTTGACAGCTACCTTGCAGAATATGTTTGGAGACGCCTTCAAGGGGGCAAAAGCCCAACTGAGAGGTTTTGGTCGTTCCTTGAGGGCACCTACAAACTCTACGAGCAGTAACAATCGCCAATCGGTAAATTGTATTCATTTCTATCAGAGGCTTAGCATAATTTCAGGGACGGTTTATGGTGACTCCCCTTCCCCCCCC